ATTTGTGGGTGAGCACGTGGAGAGCCCAAAGCAGAAAGCCCGGGTTAACAGAGACAGTTGGTAATCATCACCGTGACACCAATTATCTCCTACTGGGATTTTGGGTTTTTTAAGCCTGCAAAGACAAACAAAGCCTGACTGTTTGAACTTCCTTTTTATTACATCCCTGTGGTGAGGAAGGTAAAAAGTTTTCAATAAATAAAAAGTCTCAAATATGAAATATGGACTCTCAGGTACCTGTGCTGGTTCAAATATTGAAGGTACCCAACTGTCTCCAACTATAATATGAAACAAGAAAAGAAAAGAGAGGAAAAAAAAAAGAAAAACAGTGCGGTTGTCTAACCGTGTCCTGACTGATGTTCCTGTATCTGAGGGCTCTGCTGTCATCGCTGCATGTTGGTGTTTAGTCCGCTCCAGATGCTCCATGTAGCTGTGGATCATCTAGAAGATACACAAGCGAGACGATCGTTAGGACATGAAGTGATCTCACTGATACAAACTACACTAATGAATATGAAGTGCTTTGGGTCCACAGCTGTGACAGTCAGCCTTACAAAGAACCATGTTGATGCAGTGTGTAGGTGACAGCCTTCATTAGGCTTTCATCTCCCCTGTTCAACATTATTCAGATTAGCAGTTTGCTGCTGAGGCCTCAGAGGTTTATTTGGACATTAAGGCAACAGTTCGTGATAAATAATGAACAACAGACAGGGACAGACTGAAGGCTCAGCAAAAACCTCATTTACAGTCAGATTCTTCGTGTTTAAAATCATTCTTTTTCTTCGTTTCCTCAACAATTTGTTGTTACATTTGTTTTTCCATTTAAGACTCAAACTGATTCTTGATGGTCTCCTGAAAAAAGAAAAGGCTCGACTTTTGATGTGCAGTTACTTATGATCCATTACTTATCACGGTGTTTGAAAACACTCCAATGTGTGGTCACAGGTAAGTCCTCCCCACATATGAATGCACACGAATAACCTTATAAACTTGAATATGCAGGTAAAGAACAGCATATGTTAAATGTACACAGACATACACATTAGTTCAGTGAAAAATTCTATCATGCTGAGATTATAACCTGTTACTCTGATTAATGTTTTTTGGGATAATGAGACATATTTAATATCATTACACTGCAAAATAATCTGATCTTAAAATTACTAACATACAGAAAACAGCTATCAACCAATCAAATCTAAAGGATATGGAAACCATATGGAGTTTCTTGGCTGCTTATCCCAGCACGTTTTCACTTATTCTTTATTTATATGCTGTGCAAGTTATAAAAAATAATAATATTACTGAGCTTACTGTAAAAGCATCCATACAAACATCTCCTCACACTCTTACCTCAGTGTGCCTCTGATGAAGGGCATTGTACTCTTTTTTGAGCTCTGCTTCTCTCTCCTCCAATCTGCTAACTGGATAAGAAACAAAGTTCAT